TTCTATTATTAGTTTATTGAAAACTTTAACATTTACTGTGATTTTAGGATATTTACGACAAAATAGTTGAATTGGATTCAAAGAAAGCAAAGTTTGCCAAGCTAATATTACAGAAAAATGTTGACCGAGCTAGGAAAGGTGGGTTGTATTTAATTTTATTTTATAATAACTTTAAATCTACATTAACTTTTTTATTATAAATATAATTTTGGGAACATATTCACACGTAAGTTCAGTATATCAAACTATTTATTATATAAATTAACGAATTTTAAAATTAACTTTTTGTACAGTTAACCAGAATACCTTAAATTAAAATTATTTCATTAATTTAAATACATGTATATTATGACTAAAATTTCTGTATGAAAGACCCGAAAGTCAAAGGTCTGATAGTATGTGACATTCTGGCGGTTATGGCACTCGTCTATGAAAGCTATATTTTCAGCAAAGTTCAATACAAGACAACAATTGAATTGAATGGACAGATAACAAAAGGGGAGTTGGTTTTGGACAGAGGGTTTGCCTTCAAAACTGACTGGACTCCTGTCACATACATCACACATTTCGACGAAACAAAGTTTTCACTACTTTTGATCGATTTCCTTAAATAATTGTCAAGAATTATAATAATAATAATAATAACTATCATTTTAATACAAAAATAGTTTACGATAATAACCAAATGTCAAGCAAAAAGAAAATATATTATATCTAATAATATTAATATCCTATGTCAGATTTCCTGTTGACATTGATACAATCATTTATTCGATGATAAATTATATGGTATTTAATATTGTATATGATTTTCATTTTATAAAAATAAATAAGACTCTTTATGAGACTTAAAATAACAACACATAAAACTTGATTGCAATCTATTTTCCTGTTTAAATATCATATATAAAAACCTGTATTAAGTCAAATATGAACATTACATTGATTTGTACAGTATATTAATAAGTTTGTATAAGTTTTTCATTGATATCAAACACGCGGTGAACGCATTGATACGACTGTCCAGAGAGCACCCAAAACAGATCACTTTGTTTGCTTTGGGACCCCTCACCAACATAGCACTGGCCTATCATTTGGATAACAAATTGTTTGACAATTTGGAGCAAATCGTGTTTATGGGCGGAACTCTTGATTTCAATGGGAATATGGATCCCGTGAAGGAGTTTAATATAGCGAGTGATGCCGAGGCCTGTCATATAGTGCTGTCCAATGCTAAGGACAAGTGTCCTTTCACAGCAGTTCCCATTGAATGCTGTGAGAGTAATTTGATGACCTGGGTATGTCTTATATACACAATACATATTAATTCATAGTAATTTTTGTGATTAATTAATTTGATTAATCAAATTAATGATTTTTGTCATAGTAATTAATTCATAAGATAATATTAATATTAATGGTATTTTTAGGACATTTATGACAAAATAGTAACGTTGGGGACAAAGAAGTCCACATTTGCAAAACAAGTCTTAGCCATGGAGTACAGTAGAGTTCACCCTCGTATGTATACTGTACCGTATTTAAACACATTAAGATACTAAACATTTAATTTTCATATACTATACAATATTTTAATATATCTTATATTGATTTATGTCTCTCAGAACCTGGAGCTAAAGGTATGATAATGTTTGATATGTTGGCAATTATTGCACTCTTGTATGCGGACTATATTGAGAGCTCCACTCCATATAAGACATCGATTGAATTGAACGGAACCCTCACGAGAGGGGAACTGGTGTTTGATAAGAGAACGCCGGGACCTGATGTTAAACCCATGGATTGGACTTCGGTTATGTTTATCAAACACTTTAAGGATTCAAAGTTTTCACAACTTTTACTTCATTTTATGAAATAATATATCAATTATTATGACATTATTAATACATTTAATACAAGATTTTAAATTTTAAAATTAAAATTGTAATGAAATTTTAATATTTATTGTATTAAAATGATCTCTACTAAGTTATTTCAATAAAAAAAATTTATATTTTTATTTTATGTTTTCATATTACTGTAATTTGTGATTGACACAATTCTTATCTCAATTGTTATTTCAGAATTAATTTGAAGATGATATTTATTTCAAAAATAAATACTTATATAACTGATTAATTATAAATAATATAAATGTTTTATCTATCATATAGTACATGTCAGTTGTATTAATTCTTTTATATAATATAGTACTTTATTGAGTAATTCTTAGTGGTATTAATATAAGATATATATTTAAAGTTATAAATTGTTGTTATACTTAGGTAATCATTTTACAATAGAACTATGATTAATAAATTTATATCAATAAATTAATGATACTATTATTAATTCACTTTCATTTGATTCAAATATACAACGGATTTTGATAATATTTTGTTACAATTATGTCATAATAAAAGATGATTATTTAACCTAAAATATCTTACTAATTTGAACTAATTATCATTTAGATACAATAAATATTTGTTAGCAAAAATCAAATCAAATCAAAAACAAATACCAATTCAATGCTATTGCAAACAATAAAAGTAAATTAGATATAAAATTCGCCAATTTAAATATCAATATTAATGTTATATAATATTAATTACATGACAGATTTCCTGTCATTGTATGTGATATTCATTATTATTAATTATCTCGACTATTATAATTGATTGCAATCTATTTTCCTGCTCAATACAGTATATAAATTTGTGAATTAATTTAACTAATAAATCATAAGTTTTTTATTTCTACCCACTTTTCAGTATTATACTACTTATATTAGATAATAACTTATTACTGTTATTAACTAATTATTAAATATTTGAGATAATATATTAAATTGAAAATGGCATCAAAAAAGTTAGTAATTATAGACACCGACAGTGGTGTTGACGACGCGTTGGCCATAATGTTGGCCACGTATTGCCACAAACAAGACTTCATTGACATACTGGCCATCACCTGCACCCATGGAAATACAGGCGTCGATAATGTGTGCACAAATGTTTGCTATACTCTAAGAGCCTGTGATTTAGAGGACCATGGAAATACAGCCGTCGATAATGTGTGCAAAAATGTTTGCTATACTCTAAGAGCCTGTGATTTAGAGGTATTATAGCAATACTTTACTAAAATTTTTATAATTAATAAATGTTTTAAAATCTAACAGCAAATCAAGGTATACCGGGGTAGTGAGGGACCTATTATCGGGAAATACATATATGACGATTGGGATGGGAAAGATGGTTTGGGTGACTCCACTAAGGATATGCCTCCTATTGTACCGCATATTGAGAGCGAACACGCGGCCAATGCATTGGTACGACTGGCCAGAGAGCATCCAAAACAAATTACTGTTATTGCTTTGGGACCCCTGTCCAACATTGGCACAGCCTATATGTTGGACAACAATTTCTACGATAATTTGGAGCAAATCGTGTTTATGGGCGGATGTGTTGATTACGTGGGAAATGTAGGTCCGGTTCAGGAGTTTAATATCCAGAGGGACGCCGAGGCCTGTAGTATAATGCTGTCCAACGCTAAGTGCCCGCTCATATCAGTGCCGTGGGAGTGCGGTCAGAGTAATATCATTACATGGGTAATATTTCTATTTAAAATTATGTCAATTAATTTCTATTATTAGTTTATTGAAAACTTTAACATTTACTGTGATTTTAGGATATTTACGACAAAATAGTTGAATTGGATTCAAAGAAAGCAAAGTTTGCCAAGCTAATATTACAGAAAAATGTTGACCGGGCTAGGAAAGGTGGGTTGTATTTAATTTTATTTTATAATAACTTTAAATCTACATTAACTTTTTTATTATAAATATAATTTTGGGACATATTCACACGTAAGTTCAGTATATCAAACTATTTATTATATAAATTAACGAATTTTAAAATTAACTTTTTGTACAGTTAACCAGAATACCTTAAATTAAAATTATTTCATTAATTTAAATACTATTAATACTATTACTATTAATATTATGACTAAAATTTCTGTATGAAAGACCCGAAAGTCAAAGGTCTGATAGTATGTGACATTCTGGCGGTTATGGCACTCGGATATGAAAGCTATATTGAAAGCAAAGTTCAATACAAGACAACAATTGAATTGAATGGACAGATAACAAAAGGGGAGTTGGTTTTGGACAGAGGGTTTGCCTTCAAAACTGACTGGACTCCTGTCACATACATCACACATTTGGACGAAACAAAGTTTTCACAACTTTTGATCGATTTCCTTAAATAATTGTCAAGAATTATAATAATAATAATAACTATCATTTTAATACAAAAATACAGTAAAGGTCCTTTAAGAGCAACTCGTATTTGCCAGAAAATTTGTTGCCTATAAAGGAATTTGCTTATATGAGACTAAACATTTATTTTTATTAATAATACATATAATACAGTTTTAAAGCAAATAATCATTGATATTAGCCTGTTTAGCATTTAATTTGACTAAATATGCTGAACTCAATATTTGGTGCCAAAAGGTATGGCCTTTCTGTGATTTTTGCAGACATTTTCTATAATTTTGAAATACCTTATAATTGGATATACAGTAGAATAGGAAGTTGGTAACCCTTGTCCGACCCGACCCTTAAAGTTTAGGACGGGAACGGGTTTGACTATAAATGGCCGGACCGGGAAAGGGTTTCCCGATATCCGGGAAAGGGTTTCCCGATATATAAATCAAAACCCTTAAAAAGCTCAAACCTTTAAATTTCTCACATTATTTATGTTCACTCAACTCAAACCACAAAATGTCGATAAATTATTGTTTATTCATTATGATTATCAAACATTATCAAACAATTATGCTTTTTGTAAACCTTTAAAACATTATATGACCATGTTTATTGTAAATTACAGTAAAAGTTAATTTAATGTGAAACTTATCGTGATCTTGCAGTTTAATATTTTAAGGGATAATAACCAAATGTGAAGCAAAAAGAAAATATATTATATCTAATAATATTAATATCCTATGTCAGATTTCCTGTTGACATTGATACAATCATTTCGATGATAAATTATATGGTATTTAATATTGTATATGATTTTCATTTTATAAAAATAAATAAGACTCTTTATGAGACTTAAAATAACACATTAAACTTGATTGCAATCTATTTTCCTGTTTAAATATCATATATAAAAACCTGTATTAAGTCAAATATGAACATTACATTGATTTGTACAGTATATTAATAAGTTTGTATAAGTTTTTCATTGATATCAAGTGTGTAGTTAAACTTTAGTTTTTTAAACTATCAGTGCTTAATACAATTTAAAAAATTTTATTACTTTACTTTATAAGTTTTCATTTGAAAATGACATCAAAAAAGTTAGTAATTATAGACACCGACAGTGGTGTTGACGACGCGTTGGCCATAATGTTGGCCACGTATTGCCACAAACAAGACTTCATTGACATACTGGCCATCACTTGCACCCATGGAAATACAGCCGTCGATAATGTGTGCAAAAATGTTTGCTATACTCTAAGAGCCTGTGATTTAGAGGTATTTAAACAATATTTGTTATGAAATATTATATTTTATAAGTACTTAAAAACTAAACAGCAAATCAAGGTATACCGGGGCTGTGAGGGACCTATTATCGGGAAATACATACCAAACGATTACCACGGAGAGGACGGATTGGGTGACTCCACTAAAGACATGCCTCCTATTGTCCCTCACATTGAGAGCGAGCACGCGGTCAACGCTTTAGTACGACTGTCCCGGGAGTATGCAAATCAGATTACTATAGTCACATTGGGACCCCTGTCCAACATTGGCACAGCCTATCTGTTGGACAACAATTTCTACAATAATTTGAAGCAAATCGTGTTTATGGGCGGATGTGTTGATTACGTGGGAAATATAGGTCCGGTTCAGGAGTTTAATATCCAGAGGGACGCCGAGGCCTGTAGTATAATGCTGTCCAACGCTAAATGNAGAATATTCTCGTAAATACCGATACTTATGACATAAAACTCATTGATTTCGGAGCGGCTGGTCATCCCCACGAGAATATAAGCGCTCATTTCAGGGGAACTACACTCTACTGTCCGCCAGAATATATCAAATACCGGTTATATTACGGGCAATCGCAGACTGTCTGGTCTTTGGGTATATTTCTGTACGAATTATTCTGTGGAGACATACCGTTCCTCACCGTCAATGATATACTCAATGAAAGTAATGCCCTCCGCTTTCCCGATCACGTGTCCAAAGAGTATCGCAATATAATAGAGAAGTGTTTGCATCGAAAGCAACTCAGAAGACCATCCATTCGTGACTTACTTTCACATCAATTGTTTGAATAATTTATTTTTAAAAATAATTAATTCATATAAAACACTAATTATTAACCAAAATATTTATTTGTCATAGTTATAGATATATAATATAATGAAATTCTTAATTGAAGTGAGATATTATTAGGATTAATTGACAAAGTTGTGATTGCTGATTATCAATTAAAACAATTACCATTTTACGGGTAAATCATTTAGTATTATTGTAAGTTTCAAAATAATTATCGGTTTACAGTAATCAACATTTTGCTTGACATCATTTTTATGTTAATTTCGATACATTTAAACATATGATTACAAAACAACTAAATAAATGAATTATTTGTTTGCATCGAGAATGTGACTCAAAATCATTTGATTTATGGGATGATTAGTGCCATAAGTGATGGCAACTGAATCCATCAATTGGTTGCTTATGTCTTGAATAAGACTTTGATTGCAGTTTTGTTGGACAAGCATAACGACAAACGTGAACAACATAATGACTTTCAGGGGATGGTATTCACCAAAAATCTGATCACAATTGGATCTAATTATGGGCACAAGACCTGCAAATTTGTCGGCAATCATACGATCAGATAACGACCGGTCATTTGGCGGCCAAATGTTGTCATAAACTCGTAGTCGATGTCTGAGTCGAGATTTTGGACACATTTCTCGCACTGACAGTCAATGGCATACTTCTTAAGCAGTTCCATGCGTTCGCTTTTCTTGTGACACAAGTTGTAGATACAACTAATAGTGATGTCTTGTCCGCTGGGAATCGCTTTCATGGCTCGTAAAGTAAGTGAAAGACCTGTTGATTGAGAAACAGTTTCAACAGATTAAACCGAAAGTCAATTTAAATGTCAAACAATTCATACCATTGTTGATGAGAGCGGTGTTAGGACTGCACGAGTGGTTAAGGCCTGAGAACTGGGGGTAAAGACCCGAACCAATCGACATAATCATCGCTGATTTCGGCCAAAAGTCACCGAAAATATTCAATTCATTTGTCGATGAATTGGTGCTCATCTTAATGAACACAAACCAATGCAACAGCTCTTTGATGTCCCACTTGTGGCCGAATTCATTGAAGATCATCTCAATCGGTGTCAACTCTGCCATATAATCGCACTCTTTGTCGAGGACTTTGGTGTCCACTCTCATGTCTTCGAGACAAATGTCTGATCCATCAAAACGTTTGATCCGTTGAGTGGCAAACGATTTGTCAGATTTGATGCAAAGCATGAGTCGATGTAATAGCCTCTGAGTGTTGGTCCACTCCTTCGTGTGGTATCTCTTATCGGCGAAGACTTTACACTCGTATTTGTGACCACTTTTCCAATCCATTGATTGACACGTTTTGTGGCAATAATACATTTGCAGACATTTTGTATACCTCTTCAGCGATGGCCTCTCTTTCAGACAATTGTCACAAAATTTTCCTTTCAAGTCAATGCCAATAACGTGAACCAGAGGTCGAGTGACTTCTTAGAGCACATCTCCCGGTGATAACGGTTTCGACAGATTTGGTGCCATTTCTGCAGACAATCACTGCTTTTATGTGACAAAGCTTTTATAGACTCTGTTATGCCATAGACTATGTACTCTATCATTGCATTCACCAATGCTTTTCCATTCAATACTTTTAGCAAACTTTTTGTCAAACATTACATTTGCGGTCAATTCATCCATTTCTCGCAATCCTTGCACTCATTATTCATATTATTCAGTATTTATCTCATTTGTCAAATACTATGACTTGAATGCACGCTAACGTCAAGTCAAGTGAAAACTAATGCATTGTGAACATTTGAAGCAATCTTGGTTTTTATTTCATTGTCAATTACTGTATTATGAAAGTTTGCTATCAATTATACATAGCCTATAATTAAGAATTTTAATTCAATTAAAGTATCAATTATAAAAGCAGAGTTAGTTTACACTTTGAATATTACACACAAATGATTGCACTCAAACACAAGACAACATTGTTTTGATTGTTATTTAAGGAAATCGACCAAAAGTTGCGAAAACTTTGTTTCGTCGAAATGTGTGATGTATGTGACAGAAGTCCAGTCAGTTTTGAAGGCAAACCCTCTGTCCAAAACCAACTGTCCTCTCGTTGTCTTTCCATTCAATTCAATGGTAGTCTTGTACTCAACTTTGCTTTCAATATAGCTTTCACATCCGAGGGCCATAACCGCCAGAATGTCACATAATATCATCCCTTTAGTAGTCCACACAATACCCGTCGGGTCTGTCATTATATTTTGGTATAAAATTGAATAAAATTAGAATAATTGTAATTAACTTGGTCAACTGTGTCATAATAAAAGCATTTTCGGTTTAACATCACATAATATTCCAATATTTAATACTGTATTTATTACATGACTAATAAATATTATGAAATCTATTTTATTTAAAGAATTTGAGAAAATTATGAAAATATTTTTGAATTAAATTGATTAAACTGTAATAATGTATACCGTGGTAAATATAATAAGCCCCTGCTCACCTTTCCTAAGCCGGGCAACTTTTTCCTGTAATATAAGTTTGGCAAACTTGGCTTTCTTTGAATCCAATTTAACTATTTTGTCGTAGATTTCCTGAAATCATAACAATTACAACACAACAACAACTATAACAATGATGCCTAACCCAGGTCATAATATTTTTGAGGCCACATTCCCAGGGCACAGAAATGAGTGGACATTTAGCGTTGGACAGCATTATACTACAGGCCTCGGCGTCCCTCTGGATATTAAACTCCTGAACCGGACCTATATTTCCCACGTAATCAACACATCCGCCCATAAACACGATTTGCTTCAAATTATTGTAGAAATTGTTGTCCAACAGATAGGCTGTGCCAATGTTGGACAGGGGTCCCAATGTGACTATAGTAATCTGATTTGCATACTCCCGGGACAGTCGTACTAAAGCGTTGACCGCGTGCTCGCTCTCAATGTGAGGGACAATAGGAGGCATGTCTTTAGTGGAGTCACCCAATCCGTCCTCTCCGTGGTAATCGTTTGGTATGTATTTCCCGATAATAGGTCCCTCACAGCCCCGGTATACCTTGATTTGCTGTTTAGTTTTTAATACATTTATAAAATATAATAATTTTCATAAAATATTGTTTAAATACCTCTAAATCACAGGCTCTTAGAGTATAGCAAACATTTTTGCACACATTATCGACGGCTGTATTTCCATGG